GGAAGGAGTGTCCTGTGATAGAGTCATTTAACTTCTCTGGACCTCTGTTTCCTCATCTGTACAATGGGGTGAATGCTCTCCTGCCCCCTCTCCTCTTACCACCCTCTTTTCTGTCCCCACTGTCCCACCACAGTGGACCCTGACGCCGTATGGCTGCTCCAAGGCTGGCTCTTCCAGCACCAGCCCGAGTTCTGGGGGCCCGCCCAGGTTGGGGCTGTGCTGGGGGCCGTGCCCCGTGGCCGCCTCCTGGTTCTGGACCTGTTTGCTGAGAGCCAGCCCGTGTACGTCCGCACAGCCTCCTTCCAGGGCCAGCCCTTTATCTGGTGCATGCTGCATAACTTCGGGGGCAACCACGGCTTGTTTGGGGCCCTGGAGTCTGTGAACCGAGGCCCCACAGCCGCCCGCCTCTTCCCCAACTCCACCATGGTAGGCACGGGCATGACCCCTGAGGGCATCGGCCAGAACGAGGTGGTCTACGCCCTCATGGCTGAGCTGGGCTGGCGGAAGGACCCAGTGGCAGATTTGGGGGCCTGGGTGACGGGCTTTGCAGCCCGGCGGTACGGGATCTCCCATGGGGGCGCAGAGGCAGCGTGGAGGCTGCTTCTCAGGAGTGTCTACAACTGCTCTGGCGAGGGGTGCAGTGGACACAATCGCAGCCCGCTGGTCAGGCGGCCATCCCTACAGATGGTTACCGATGTCTGGTACAACCGATCGGATGTACTGGAAGCGTGGCGGCTACTGCTGACAGCCACCCCTACCCTGGCCACCAGCCCGGCCTTCTGCTATGACCTGGTGGATGTCACTCGCCAGGCAGTCCAGGAGCTGGTCAGCTTGTACTACGAAGAGGTGAGGACCGCCTATCTGAACAAGGAGCTGGTTCCCCTGATGAGGGCAGGAGGCGTCCTGGCCTATGAGCTCCTGCCCGCGCTGGACAAGGTGCTGGCTAGTGACAGCCACTTCCTGCTGGGCAGCTGGCTGGAGCAGGCCCGGGTGGCTGCCGTCAGTGAGACTGAGGCCCGCTTCTATGAGCAGAACAGCCGCTACCAGCTGACCCTGTGGGGGCCAGAGGGCAACATCCTAGACTATGCCAACAAGCAGCTGGCGGGACTGGTGGCCGACTACTACGCCCCCCGCTGGCGGCTCTTCATGGAGACACTGGTTGAGAGCCTGGTCCAAGGCATCCCCTTCCAACAGCACCAGTTTGACAAGAATGCCTTCCAGCTGGAACAGACCTTCGTCCTCAGCACAAAGAGGTATCCTAGCCAGCCCCAAGGAGACACAGTGGACCTGGCCAAGAAGCTCTTCCTCAAATATTATCCCCGGTGGGTGGCTGGCGCCTTGTGACAGATTAAGCACCCTTGGGCCACATTTTCCCCAAACTCCAGGCCTGGGCAGGTTCCCGGGGCCTGGGGCTAGGCAAGCATCCCAGGAGTTCCCCAGGCCTGGGTGAAGGAATTCATGCTGATGGGATCAAGCATGGAAGGTTTGGAGAGAGCCGAGCTGCCTTCCTTCACCATCCCAAATGTGGGATCAAAGTACTGTTTTAATACAACTTAATAAACTGATGAATCACCTGGACCTGTGTGTCAGAATGTCAATGCCATGATGCCGGGGAGGACTCAGGGCTATAGCATGGACACTGGTGAGGTCAGGTCTCCCTGCCCCCTTACCTCAGCTTCCTCGGGTGTTTTGTTTGTTTGTTTCATTTCATCAGTTTTATTGGTCATATATCCAGAATTCATTATATAAATGTTTCGAAGTAACTAGATATTGCAAGAATTATCTACAGTTCAGCTCTGATGGCGCAAATACTTGACACAGGAAACCTTTTTTACAAATAATTATTTTTCTTATAAGAATACTTTAGGGCTTCCCTGGTGGCGCAGTGGTTGAGAGTCCGCCTGCCGATGCAAGGGACACGGGTTCGTGCCCCGGTCCGGGAAGATCCCACATGCCGCGGAGCGGCTGGGCCCGTGAGCCATGGCTGCTGAGCCTGCGCTTCCGGAGCCTGTGCTCTGCAACGGGGGAGAGGCCACAACAGTGAGAGGCCCGCGCACCGCAAAAAAACAAAAAAACAAAAAAAAAGAATACTTTAGTACAACACTGCTATGTTTAAAATGGATAACCAACAAGGACCTACCATATAGCACAGGGAACTCTGCTCAATGTTATGTGGCAGCCTGGATGGGAGGGAAGTTTGAGGGAGAATGGATACATGCATATATATGGCTGAGTAGCTTTGCTGTGCATCTGAAACTATCACAACATTGTTAATCGGCTATGCTCCAATATAAAATTAAAAGTTTTTAAAAAAGAATAGTACAGAAAGTAAGTCTCTATATCTTACAGCAAATTTTATGCAGTTTTTTACCAATTCAACCATCATTTCAGGTTTCCTATCATAGCACATCCATCACATCCCATAAACCAAATTATAATCTGCTGCTGCTGCTTCTCATTTTCATTTACCACTGAGGGTCACATTGTTAAGAGTTTTTAGGCTTCTTTTTCTAATCTTTCCTGATCTGAAAGAATTCATGTATTCAGGCTAGAAGAGGTAATTTAAACAACATTCCTTCTAAATCTAACTTGTATTGGGTTAATCACTGTGCTTGGTGAAGCATCTTTTCACTTTTCTCTTAGGCTAGACTGGCTAGTAGTTCACCCCTGCTGTATCAAGCAGAAGGGATAAAGTCCTAATATTCCTAAATGTTTCTGAACTGCAAAAACAAACCCCTAGAAACAAGAGTTAAATACAAATATTTAGAAAGCTAAAACATTTGCTAATGATGAGAAATAGAGAATACTTTCAGATTTGAGGTCTCTCCTAGGTTGAAGAAGACATAAAAGAAAGTATAAGGATGTGACAGTAGTTTTATATTGATAAAATATGGAAAAACTGAAAAAAGTGAATCACTTAGGTCAGTGGTGTGGTGTTTCCATAGTGCCAGGAGATAACAGGATCTTAGACTCTGTGGCTAGCTGAACTATTTGACATTCCTTGGATGCTGTGACTTTGAAATAGCCTAATAAATACCTTGGTCAGAACAAGTAATCATTTAGGCCAGGGTAACTTTACAGAACACTGACCACGTTTCCCTGAAGAGACAGGACACCTCCCCAGGGGAAACATTTAGTATTCGCTCCATTCCTTCAGTTACTGAGATGTCCAGTTAGCAAAAGCTTGTCTTACTTTTCAGGTAGCATGCATTAAAACCAAGAGCCTGGCAGCAGTCAAGTTCCTGAGTGCTCAGCTCCAATTATCCAATATTTTTTTTTAATTAATTAATTTGTGTGCGGCATGCCGCAAGTGGGGGCTACTCCTTGTTGCGGTGTGCGGGCTTCTCATTGCGGTGGCTTCCCTTGTTGCGGAGCATGGGTTCTAGGCTCACAGGCTTCAGTAGTTGTGGCGCGTGGGCTCAGTCGTTGTGACACGCGAGCTCTAGAGCGTAGGCTCAGTAGCTGTGGCTCACGGGCTTAGTTGCTCCGCGGCACGTGGGATCTTCCCGGACCAGGGCTCTAACCTGTGTCCCCTGCATTGGCAGGCGGATTCTTAACCACTGCGCTACCAGGGAAGCCCCCCTCAGTTTTAAACTAACCCCTGACCTTTGAACTGAGAACACCCTTCCAAAACATTTACTTTCACACGCTCAGCAACAAACTTTGGCAACTATAATTGTCCCTGTGGGACAGAGGCTTGCCAGGCAAAGATCTTCCCAGGGTGCTCAGTGCCCACATGGGAGCCCACACCTCCTGTTTGCAAAGCTTCACCCTCCCTCTGACTAGCAGCTTAAAGAAGGGGTGTTCTAAGTGGTGGCCTCATCTCTGCCTTGACCTAGAGTAGGTTGGGGAGAGAAGGCCAGGGATCCACAGGAGGTCTCAGCCTTGAGATTGTGCTGCAGACATAACAAGGGGTGGGGACCCGGCAGGCAGGGGCGGGGCGAAGCAGGTGATATCCATCCCAGAGACCAGCGCCCAGCATTCCCGGGGCCTCTCCCTACGCACAGCTCCATGGACCGCACCGTGGTGCTCATCACTGGCTGTTCCTCCGGCATTGGCCTACACCTGGCCCTGCGCCTGGCGTCCGACCCATCCCAGGGCTTCAAAGGTACGTGAGGGGACTGGGGTGAAAAGACCAGCTCCTTCCTGGTCCAAGGGGGCCTAGGTAGGGTTGTAAGCTCGAAATTCAGAGACTCGTCCTCTCCCTGAACCTCCAGTGTACGCCACGCTGAGGGACCTGATGGCACAGGGCCCACTTTGGGAGGCCGCCCGGTCCCGAGGGTGCCCTCCCGGCTCCCTGGAGATGTTGCAGCTGGATGTGAGGGACGCAGATTCCATAGCTGCTGCCCGGGCACGCGTGACCGAGGGCCGCGTGGACGTGCTGGGTGAGTCTCCCTGCAAAACTAGTGCAGGAGCCTTCCTCACCCTGTGTCCAAACCAAGACGTCCCGAGGCCCAGGGAGCACGAGGCGGGGAGGAGGGCCGTGCGTGAGGCGAGCAGAGTTCGGTCTCTCTCCCCGCAGTATGTAACGCAGGCCGGGGCTTGGTGGGCCCGCTGGAGGCACACGAGGAGGGCACCGTGGGCTCCGTGCTGGATGTGAACCTGACCGGGACTGTGCGGATGCTGCAGGCCTTCCTGCCGGACATGAAGCGGCGACGTTCAGGACGCATATTGGTGACCGGGAGCATGGGAGGCTTGATGGGTGAGTGGAAGCCGGGAAAGAAGCAGAGGCGCGCAGGAGGCGGGGCTCAACGGGAGAGTCGGGGGGTCTAATAAAAGGGGTGGGACCTGGTGAAACTGCCCCGGGCCCCTCCCGCTCCCCGCGGCTCCCCTCCTCGACGCGCCTCAGCAGCCTCCTCTCGCCTCCAAGCTCTTCCCTTCAACGCCGTTTACTGCGCCAGCAAGTTTGCAATCGAGGGTTTGTGCGAGAGTCTGGCGATTCTGCTGCAGCCCTTCGGGGTCCAGTGAGTCACCGCCCCGCCCCCGGGACCCTCTGAACACTGACTTTGGGAACCCCAGCACCCTGTTTTGTTGGAA